TGGCGGCCCGGACCCGGCTCACGGGCAGTGCCTGCAAACAGAGCCGACACAGCAGACAGCCAGATCAGCGCGGTCCAGCCGGGGTCAGTGTCCGGGGGCTACGGGGTGTCTCTGCACCTCGGTCCCTGGACCCTCTGATAGCCCCTTGCCCACCCCCCACTGGCACGGAATCCAGCCGCCCACCCTGCAACTCCCTAGAAAGCTGGCTTCGCGATGGCCGCGAAGCTTCGGCCCCGCGTGGGGAGGGAGCCCGCCGGCCCGCCAGGCGCGTGGGGGTGCGGAGCGGACGGTGGAGGGAGAAGAAAGGCAGCTGGTGCCGCGGGGAGCGGCGGAGGCCCCCCGGGCCCCGCGCGGGTCTAGGTCCCAGGTTTGGCAGGGCAACCAGTCGGGCCAGGAACCGAGCGGCACGTGGGCGCCCGGGGCTGGCGCGAGGGCGCAATTGCCGCGGCTTGCGCACGCGACCCCGGGGCTCCCTTCCAGTAGTCCCTCCCGGAGCCCGGCAGGCCCGACCCACGTCTGCAGTGGCAAAGCCAACCCCCCCGACCGCGTCCCCGAGTTTCAGCGCCCGGCGCCCGGAGGGACGCTGCGGGCGGGGCGCGCCGCAGTTCCGCGCACCCTACCTCGGGCCGGCCGGCTTCATCCCTGCAGAGCCTCTCCGGGCGGCGGCTCCTGCGGCTGCGGCCGTCGCCTCATTCCATTTCCCATTCTCGAATGTTATTCTGTGACATATAACCGAGTCACCCGGGCAGCCGCCGATGTTCCGAATGCGTCCATTGGCCACCGCAACAAAGAGGGGCGGGTCCCGGGGCTCGGGACTCTACAACCCCGAGCTTCCCGACGCTCTGATTGGCTTCGGGGGTTCCCCGGGCGGGCGGGGAGAGGAGTTGGGGGAGCTGGGCGGCCACGCGAAATCCGAGCGCTGTCAGTCCTGGGAGCCGCGCGGGGCTGGGGCATTTGGTCACCGGACTTCAGACCGAGTTTCTCCCAGGGTCCTGGCACTGTGAGGACTTGTCATTGTGGATAGTGGGGGTGCAGGGTGGAATGTCAGCAGAGAAGTGACCAGGGGTACAGGAGGGTTTGCCCTTAGAAGGGTTTATACCCTGAGGGATGGATGGGTGGTTCAGCAAGGTGTTGTCTTTATGCATGCAAAAAATTAGATCTTTAAGAAAAAAAAAATCCGCCTTACAAATACCCACAAATTAAGTGGTGACATTAGCCATGACAAAACCCTGACAAATCTATCATCGCTGCGGATATGAGGGTGGGGTGAAGAGAAGCTTCCCATCCATGGTGAAGTGGATGGCCTTCCCCACTGAGTAAACATGAGCGGGCCTATCTGACTCCCCCAGGCTACACCCAGAGTTAAGATAGGCCTCCAGCCTCCAGCCTCTATCCTATTCTGACACCAACCTTTCCTCCCAAGACACTCCACCTTTCTGTTGGGTTCATTAATCCCCTGCAATGGCTGTATAGAACTCACAGACAATGCTCACGATTAAGGGGGTTTATTAGGGAAGTTAACAAGCCAGGGTCAGGAAACGTGAAGGATACAATCATTGGTCCACAGCACCGCTCCTCAGCCAGTAGCCAAGTCGTGTTCTCCATCATATGGCCCCTTGGCCTCTGCCTGCATGGACCAGGAAGTCAGCCTGCTGCTCTGCCTCACAGTCTCAGAGTCTTGGCGCTGCTCCTCTGTTCTGTCTCATGGTTTCCATACGGCAGCCTCTTGGCTTCTGCCATGACAAGCAGAGATCTAGAACCTGCTCCACCGGTGTCTCTCCCCTTCATGGTCCTGGGGTTTCTCTGTGTTTGAGATGTCCCTGGTACGCCGAGGGATGCTTTTGATGGAGGTGTGGCTTTTGTCTTTCAGCAGACCCTATTCCCAAGGAAGCAAAGGTGGTGACTTGGCTCATACACTTTCGTAAGGTGGAGACTCAGAATACATCCCACCTTACATTCATTAGCATAACTGAACTCTCTCCAAAATGGGATGATCACCACAGGCATAGAGTGGAGAATTTATACTACATCATAAAAGGCATGATGGCTAGAAGGGCCCATATTAATTGCCTACACCTCCCACAGTCACCATTGAAAAACATTCCCGTAAAGTGGAAATGGGGGGTGATGGACCAGGCTACTGACCCAAGGGCCCTGCTCTAAATCCAAGTCCGTCATCACTCAGCTGAACTGTGTAACCCTAGTGGTCCGAAAGGTTGGCAGTTTGAAATCACCAGGCGCTCCTCAGGAGAAAGATGGGGCTTTCTATTCCCATAAAGGGTTCCACTCTCGGAAACTGGCAGGGACAGTGCTACCGTGTCCTAGGGAGTCTCTGAGTCGGCATCGACGCAGTGGCAGTAAGTTTGATTTGGTGGTTTGGCTCTTCAAGGTCTTTTCAGACTCTCAGTTTCTGCAAGGCTCGGGCTTCCTCGAATGGGCACCCAGGAGGATGGGCATGTAACAGTCTTTAGACTCCAGGCCAGCATGCTACCTTTGAGAGGCTAAGGACACAATGCTAAATGAGCCTGGAATTATGGATAGAATCATCAAAGCGATATTGATGGCCGAATCAGTTTCTGGATGCTTTGCCCTACAAGTTGCCCTTGGTAGAACTGGAACTTCGCTTCTAGGGGAGGGTGCATTGAGGGTCCAGCCCCAGCAGGAGCACTAGAGTATCGCTGAGAGGCTGGAACGTAGGCGAGGAGCTCTGGATTCCAGGCTACACCTTGCCCCGGTGCCCAAGTCAAACAGAACCCAGAATAGATTCAATAATGAGAACAATAGGTCCAACTAGACAAGGAAAATATCTGAAGAATTCATGTGGAACAAGCACACCAGAAATAATGCACAAAACCAAAAGGAGAAGTATCCCCTCATTAGATAATCGCCTCCATGGTCATTCCCTACAAAAAAGGAAAGCTTGTCCCAGGGAGTGCTCTATTTTCTTATCCTGCACATGCTTCCTCCCTTCTTTGTTTCATTCAACTCTCAAAGCTGTCCCTTTCTCCACACTTCCCTGGAGTTCCAAGTTCTGGAGACAAGGGTTTTCGTGTTAAGGCCCATATGCAAAGGATGAGAATTTGGCCTAAAAAATCCCTCAGGAGAAAATTGAGCTCTCAAAGCTCAGGTGATCAGATCAGTCAACGAACATCGAAGAATATCTGGCAGGTGTCACCTTTCTTTGGGATCACTTCCCAGTGTCACTGCTCAGGCCAAGTCCAAAGGACTACAATTACCCTTTGAAAAGAGGGCTAGGATTCTACTTTCTGTGCACTGAAATCCTAGGAATCACAGAGGCTATTGGTTCATCTTCCGGCCTGCAGGCATCCCAGGGATCTCAAACAGTTGAGGGGGAAAGCCTTTGTTGTTATTTTAATCCAGTCCAGTTGTCTGCTCTCCTGTTTCCCAAGAAGTGGGAGAGGGCCAGGTGACACAGCCTACGAAGACAGCTGTGAGATCTGGCGAGCTCGCCAGAGAGACGGTCAGGAGGCTCCTGAAGTGCGCTGCCGAGCCCCAGCAAAGAACTTGGGACACAGAAGGGCAACTTAGTTCAGAATTTCTTTGCATCTGAGAATTGGTCTAGTGGCCCTGAGCAGCAGCATGACTCTTCATCTCCTTGTACATGGCATGCCAGTGACTCAGACCAGACAGAATGTGGGCTTGGAAAGATCGGCAAGAGTGATGAAGCCTTATGTACACACAGGGACAAAGCCAACTTGTGGCTTGAGCAGGATACATGGTAGTTAGACACCCAACCTCTGAGAGCATTCATTGGCATAAAAGCAGGCACAGCAGAGAAATTATAATGGAAAGGTTTGGACAAGAATGGGTTCAAATACTATTCCATTCTGCAAGTACCTGCAGCTGGGGTCATAAAGATAAATAAGAATATGTATATATGCATATATATGTATATAAGGGGGCTTCCAAAAGTTCATGGAAATACAATGAAAAAATAATGGAATTTACCCACAAAGCTTTTAAAACTAGCCCCCCCCAACCTTTGTATATAATTTCAGCCATGCTAATAGCAAGGATGTTAGTTTGAGGACTAAGGTGCACCTGATCCAAGCCACAGTGTTTTCATTTACCTCATATACATATGAAAGTTGGACATTGAATCAAGAGGCCAAAAGAAAATCGATGTATTTGAATTATGGTGCTGGCAGAAAATATTGAAAGTAACATAGACTGCCCAAAGAGCAAACAAATCTGTCTTGTTTTGAAGTACAGCCAGAGTGCTTCTTAGAAGCAAAGATAGCAAGACGTGGTCTCACTTTGGTCATGTTATCAGGAGAGACTAGAGGCTAGTCCTTGGAGAAAGATATCATGCTTGGTCAAGTAGAGGGACAGGGACAAATAGGAAGTGCCTTGTCAAGATGAAGTGATACAGTGGCTGCCATGATGGGCTCAAATCTACGCAGCATTGTGAGGACGGCACAGGACTAGGTGGTGCTTCATTCTGTAGTACATAGGTCCCTAAGAGTTGGAACCGAGCACTTAACAACAAAGGCTCAGATTGGGCTCTTTGTTTTTGAGAAATGGCAGGTTGCGATGTAATGAGTCCTGGGTTTGGGGTCTCTCAACTCTGTTGTTTTCAATTACAGTCAAG